TTGGCGTTGGTGGTACTACTAGAAAATGTACCTCAATGACCTCGCCCGAGGTGAGGGCACACTCCTCCTACATACACGCACTCGTTGTTGGTCCGTTGGGGGTTATCGATTATATTGAAGCGTACTTCAGTGTCCCCGCCCAAGGTGTACATACGCGCCCAAACATACCCTCGTACCTTTTTATTTTACAGGATTATTGAGATCTAATTTATTCTCTGACATGCCCCGCCCGTCCTTTCCCCTAAAATCAGGACGTCGTAAGACTGAGGGGCGCGCTTTATATGCAAATATAAAAGAGTCTATGGGAAGAAGGGCTTCGGTTATACTTATCTGTGATTTTGTATCTACGCAGAAACATAATATCAGAGAATGTGAGTAAGACACACATCCACGGGATTACCGTAAACCGTTTCAATTGAAAAATTAATATTTCGGACTGCAGGAAGTCTACTGTTCTGTGGTAAAAGTAGTGCTCAATCTCTTGAATTCCTAGTTATCAAACTGTAAATTTAGATAGTCACCCAGTGCTAGTAAGCCCGAAATTCTGTGGGAGTCTCTCCTGTCGTTCACGATATTCCTTCTTCAGTGCTGATAGAGGTCATGCGACTGTCTGCAGGGACATTAAAATGAGTCCTCAATGCATTCCATGTATCAGTTAAGTCGGTGAAATTCCACTTTGATGATCGAGTTTCAGCATCGCTAACGCAAAATATTAAAAAAAAACATTTCTACTATATTTTCATCAGTAGGACGTCCCTACCACATGTCGATGAGTCGACCATTTATCGTCTGAATATTTGCTATTCAGATCTGCTGGACGCTGCAGAGGCGGCGACGGACCTGGATATCAAGGACCTACTGCCGGAACGAGATCATCCACCTCCGAAATTAGAATTTGAGGACAAGTGTACGCAGTGTGAGCCAGAAGTCCCCACCAAGGTAAGACCAAAGACGCCCTAACTACTGAAATGGGCTTGCATATTGTTGGAGGTCAAATAGGCGGATGAAGTTCCTTTGCAAATCGCATAATCAATTGCCCTTTAGTTTCTAAAGTGTACCTCTACCAGCGTACCTTTTTTGCATTAAATCAAGCGGATGTAGTGGTCGATGTTTTGTAACAGTTCTAAAGGGCAGGATATGTTTTCTTCTCATTGGATATTACCACTATCTCGGCGGAGGCTTTATTTCTTGACTGCTCCAAGTAGGATATGAATGAAATAGTTAAATGCTGGTCGTCGGGCGCAAACATGACTTGTTTCTGAGGGCAACTGAGAAAAGGGGAAAGTCCAGGTCTAGTGCAGGAGTTTTTTAGCTTGACTTTTCGGATTCATATTCTAGCACATCACCCGAGGTGGAACCATGGAGGCGAAAGGCGGCAGGAATCTGCTGTGTTGTCACACGCCTACGAGTTGTCCAGTCGGATTAGATGGGCTGATTTTACATCCAGTTACTGTCCTGGGTCTTCATTTGACGGCCAGAAGGTTAAATTCAGTTCAGTTTACATGAAGGAAATAGTGGTGTGTATCCCTGAACTCTCTATTAGTTTACATGCACGTACTGATATAAAAACGTTTGGAATGCCATGTGAATACAAGGGAGTGTACCAACTCTGTCACACAACATGTTAGAGCGAAGGATGCCGATGAACGCCAAAAAGCTGTCTAAATGTTAGTTCCTCATTCATCACTACTGCGCTCGAGAAAAAAGCAGGAAGGTATTTTCTATGGATGACTTTATAGAGGGTTTAAATGTTGCAAACCGTGTCCTGAACGAAAGACGATAGCTGAACTATCACCAAACGAGAAAATTATCCGAAATTTGCAGGCCGAACTGTGAAAGTTAATTTGCTGTTCAATTAAACCTCTAGCTAAGATATTTGAAACATGTTCCCTCGGCCTGAGGACCTTCATAGGTGCTTTGTCTTTTGTTGGAGACCACAAATCTTGATTGCCCTTTTAAGCAACTGCAAACAAATTCTGTCCAATCAGGCGCAGGCAGTCCTCACAGTCGCCAAAAACTTTGGTATGTTAGCGCTGTATCCAGAATCAGGATTTGTGTCGCAGGAACCTGTGATAATTCTCCGTCACTGGCACGTACGCAGTTCAACTCTGAGGTTACTTTTCGAGGGAATTAGACAGTAGTAATCGAAATAAGTCAAATTTTGTTAAGAGTATTTCTACGACTATAAACAGTCGCCTGTCTCTCTGGCAGCAGATTGCAGATGAAGGGAGCTGCAAATTGTTCGCTTCAAAACTCCGCTATTGGGAGAAAAGACACACAGTTGCGTTAGTGACTCACGGAAGGTAAGCATACTTCCGACAGAAGAGGCTGTGTAGTAAGCTACAGCAAAAAAAATGGTTAGTACGGACACCTGCATTTCTTAGTGTTTGCATGGCTCTATTGGACATATACTGCACATTATGGCGGAAGTGCACTAGAGCCAGGTCCGCTTAGGTTCAGCAGTGGGAAAGCTGTATTTATCACGGTTATATCTATATGTGGAACTACGTTACCGACAAAGACATGAGAAACTGGAAAGATCATTGCTGGCTTATTAGCGCCCTCAGGCAGTCATATCCAACCCCGAGGGTGGCGATACCTGAGGTTCGAACCCCGACCTTGTGAGTAAGAAGCCCACCGCTCTAACCACTGCGCCATGGGCTCCTGGCCTTGCTGGTTTCGATCGGAAATATACACAATGGTGGATAGTGTTAGGATATTAGCCAGACCAAATGCTAGCAAAATTTGGGGGCTTTCCTGAGCCGTCGAGCCTAGCCAAGTGTCTTTGTTTGTTAGCTCTGACCGCATACAGGCGATGGCTGTCCACACACAATGACCTTCGACTGGGCACGCAGGCACGTATGCTAGGAGCTTACGCACGTGCCAACTGGTCGTAATTATCCCAATGCGGCCAATCA